GCAATATAAGAAAAGGAATATATCTATTTGCCCACCTTCATCTTTCTTTCTAGCTATTTTGGGATTAAGTCAAATAGGAGAGGTATTTGCATACTGGGCGGCCAAATGGCAAGTATCCATAGACAAGTTTTAATCTAGGGCTTAATGAGTTTGATCATCCTATTGTTGCCAAGTATTCCATCTTATTTTCTTTTCATTGAATGGCGCTGACTAGTTGATAGTGGTTCTATTAATAATTCAGTAAATTTAGCTATAGTTATGTTTTTAAAATACTTTTTTACAAGAATCTCAGAAATATTTACGCCTTTGTCTGACAGGTCTAATGTCTTGGTAAGTTATACCAGTGATTAAGGTATTATTGAACTATACTATGCAAAAAATTGTGTGTGGAGGTATGTATTTGGGGAAGAGGAATAATAAAATAAGTAGAGTTCAGAATTCACAGACTTTTTAAAAAAAGATTTATTTGTCAGAGAGACAGAGAGAGCACAAGTAGGGGGATAGGGGGCAGAGGGAGAAGCAGGCTTTCTGCTGAGCAGGGAGCCCCATGAGGGACTCAATCCCAGAATCCTGGGATCATGACCTAAGCTGAAGGCAGTTGCTTAACCGACTGAGCCACTACAGCGCCCAAAATTCATTTTTTTTTTTTTAAGATTTTATTTATTTGACAGAGAGATAGAGAGCACAAGTAGGCAGAGAGGCAGGCAGAGGGAGAGGGAGAAGCAGGCTCTCCGCTGAGCAAGGAGCCCGACGCAGGGCTTGATCCCAGGACCCTGGGATCATGACCCGAGCCGAAGGCAGCCGCTTAACTGACTGAGCCACCCAGGCACCCCCCAAAATTCATTTTTAACGTGAAGGGAAGTTAGCAATGAGTTCAGTGGTTCTCAATTTTAGCTACACGTTAGAATCACTCAGGGAGGCCTTAAAAAAATACTGGTGGGTAGAACTTCTACCCTAGATATTTTGACTTCATTGATCTGGGGTGGGGCCCAAGCATTTATGTGGTTTTAAAATGCCCCAGGTGATTTAAATGTACGGCCAGGGCTAAAAACCATTGCTCTAGTCCAGCTTACTGAGTTCACACAATTCTTTGGTACAACAGAGAAAAGAACACCAGACTTGGATCAAAAAAAATCTAAATTTGAACCTCTTTTGTACCATTTTATTGATCTTAAGTAGCTTATCCTCTCAGTGGCTCAGCTCTTTCAATTGTAAAGGGAAATACTATATACCGCCCTAGTCAATTAAGAGAGATTTCTCCATTTCAGGAATAGAAAAAAGTGATGATCAATGAGGATGAATAACTTACCCAAAGCTAATTACGAAGTGTTGGGAGTAATTTAAAGATGTCATTTAGCTTTTTCTATTCACTTGTGCCACTAGACCATGTTGCCTCAGTGTTTATTTTTATGGTCTGAAGCCCTATTAAACAATTTGCTAAAATATCAACTATAATTCGTTTTTAGTTTTATCATTCCCACTTTTAACAGGGAATGATAGGGGCTGTCATATCAATGCTAGGGACTAAGGATTCAAAACTGAAAAGGACATGAAACCTTTCTTAGACAGCTTATAAACTGATAGGTATAATATGAAGGGAGGGCTAATTCTCCTGCCTCAATGTTTTGGTTGGAAAAGATTAGAAATTTTTCTAAAGATATACTTTATAATAGCTTCTTGTTTGCTCTTTATTTCTACTGCTACTAGGTTTTCTGGGGCTCTAGGCTTCTTTAAACTAGATAGAACCGGGCGCCTGGGTGGCTCAGTTGGTTAAGCGACTGCCTTCGGCTCAGGTCATGATCCTGGAGTCCCGGGATCGAGTCCCACATCGGGCTCCCTGCTCGGCAGGGAGTCTGCTTCTCCCTCTGACCCTCCCCTCTCTCATGTGCTCTCTCTCTCTCATTCTTTCTCTCAAATAAATAAAATCTTTAAATAAAAAATAAAAAAATAAAAATAAACTAGATAGAACCCAATGCTGGGTAAGTGGATTAAGGGCTCAAAAATGAAGCCATAAACAGGGATGGTATCTTCCTTAAACAGGTATGCAGTCTGAATACCCTTGCTGTGTGGTCAGAATTGTCCTTAGCACTGCATGGGATAAAAAGAAATATATGACACAGTCATACAGAATAAATTATTAAGAGCTTTAGGAACTCAGAAATAGGGGTAAACAGAATGGGGTGCTATTTTAAAGACTTGTTCATTTCATTTTAAAGGCAAAAAGTTAAGCCATTTTTTTAAGTAAATATTTTTCTTATAACATGGTATTTTAGTCAGGAATATCACAAGATAATATATGTGGTTGTTCAGCAGATTAGAAATTACGGTGTTTTCTAGAAGGGGAGCCTGGTTTCTAAGCAAGCTGAAGAAACCTTTTCATTTATAGGCTTTTTTTTTTTTTTAAAGATTTATTTATTTATTTGACAGAAAGAGACACAGCGAGAGAGGGAACACAAGCAGGGGGAGTGGGAGAGGGAGAAGCAGGCTTCCCGCCGAGCAGGGAGCCCTATGCGGGGCTCAATGCGGGGCTCCATCCCAGGACCCTGGGACCATGACCTGAGCCAAAGGCAGATGCTTAACAACTGAGCCACCCAGGCGCCCCTCATTTATAGGCTTTAAATTAAAAAGCAGAGACTAATTTTTCTATAGTTTTGTTTTGTGTTTGAAACTTAAAACAGAGAAACAGGGTACACACTGAGAAATTTAATATTTTGTTTCATAAATGCAAGTTTTAGTTTATCTGTAAAATATTTCACAGAACAGAAATATTTTTTAAATTCACTATTTTTGAATTGTTAACTGTTTGAAGAAATCAAGAAAATGTTTCATCAGTGGTATGATTCAGTAGTTGTCTAAATTGTTACTTTTTTTTAAAGGTTTTATTTATTTATTTGACACAGAGAGACAAGGCTAGAGAAGGAACACAAGCAGGGGGAGTGGTAGAGGGAGAAGCAGGCTCCCCACTGAGCAAGGAGCCCAATGCGGGGCTGGATCCCAGGACCCTGGGATCATGAGCTGAGCTGAAAGCAGAAGCCTAATGACTGAGCCACCCAGGTGCCCCCTAAATTGTTACTTTTTACAGATATTTTGGTTTTACTGAAATTCACTTATTTTCTCAACTGCCATGATTATATACAAAGTAAAAATTTTCACTGTCTGTAATTATTTTCTGGCCATTGTTTTATGATTATTACTTAAAATGATGAGCCACTCTACATATCCAATACTCTAACCCCAGAAAAAAATAGTATGTCCCTTTCCTTTTTCGTTTGGTCTTATTTGTGGTATAAATGGCATTCATTCATTCAAATAATGATGTAACTTCTGATACTACATGATGTCACTAGTGACATTACGTTGACAAAACAAGTCTCTGCCTTTATGAAGCTTGCATTCTGGTGGCATATAAACAGAACACGGCTTTACAAAAATAAACTTTTTAGCCCTAACACAGTGCCACTGCCAGGTAGAGGCTAGTACTTCCAGCTACTTCTGTTTTTCATTATATTACTCCTTCCACTGAAAAAGAAATCCAAGCCCAGCAGATCAAGCTCCCATCTACTTGGAAAAACTGGAATCTGCTCTGAGAAAACTATTATGTTGGAATGCAACAAAATACCTCTATTTGCCACATATAAAAAAATTCCTCCCTCAAAGAAAATAAGTACTATGGTACTGTAACTGAGATTCCAAACAATTGTGTGAGGTAGCCAGGGAGATAGCATAATTAGGGGGTAAGAGGATGAGTTGCAGACTTATGATTTAATCTCAGTTCTGTGACCCTCAAAAAACAACTTAAACTCTTTCTGAGTTTCCTCATATGTAAAATATTAATACTCAAAATTATTTCATATGATTGCTGTGAGGATTAAAAATATATTTAAAGTATTTAGTACAGTGTTTGCTATAACAAACAATAAATGGTGACTATTTTTTATTAGCGATATTATTCTTCGTCTGATTTTATAGATAAGGAAAATGAAGTTTAGGAAAGTTGAGGCCTAAGGATTCACAGCTATGAAACAGGCAACACTTTGAACTCTAATCTTCTCCAAAATCCTTCTTTCAGTTTTAGGACAGTGCGCATTAAGGCTGACGGAAAGTAAATTGGATCATTGTCAGAATATTACTAACTCTAGTAAGTTTATTTCAGCTGAAGCTTATAAGGTTATCACTTAACCTATGTACCATTATCAAATATTCTTATATTATGAAATAAGTATGTTATCATATGCTGTTATAGCATCTTCATTAAAAAATAACAAGCGCTATTTCCTGCTTTTCCTCCCCTTGGTTCATTTATTTTAAGCTTCGCCTTACTTTAAGTCTAACTTGATCTCTAACCATTTGCTACAAGGTTTCCTAAAGTCTTCCATAAACATTTTGTTATTTACCCTGAAACAGAGTACAGAGAGCAAGGTCGGCATTACACTTGGTTTACACATGATAACAAACCTAGCAAGGTTAAATGCCTAGATCCAGGCCACAAAAGTAGTTAGTCCGATTCTAAACCGTATGCTAAGATTATTATCATCTAGGCTTCTTAAAGTTAAGAAAGGGTAGGTGAGAAGTTCCTGCTCATCACACTCAAGGGAAGTAATACTTAAATATGAAAAGTTATCACCCTACACAGTTGAAAAGGCGGCAAGGCACGGGAACTCTGGTTAACACTGTCATTTTTAAGTAACGTGGACTGGTCCTGAAGAGATGTTATAAAGATAAGGCTCAAACATTCAAAAGAAGGGTTTCATAGCAAACCCAAGCCCAGTAAAACGCCGCACTGCCTGCAGATTCCACACAAAACACGGGCCTCCCACGTGTCTTTCAGGAAATGCACAGAACACGAGGGATTAAGGAGGCCAAGGAGGGGCTGGGAGAGGTAGGAATAGCGTGTTGGGCTTTCCCGGGTGACTGAGGACGCGCGAGGGCTGGGGCGGGATGAAGGGAACTCGCGGAGCACCTGGCGGGCACCGACGTCTGAGAACAAGTCTGGAAGCAGCATGGGGGAGGCTTTCATCGTGGGAGCGCGCTTCCCGCGGGGCCCACCCTGTGGAGCTCCCCAGCGGATTTGCTCCTCCGGTTCCAGTCGGGGTGGAGGAGGTGAGCGCGCGGAAAAGAAATGCAGAAAGTACGCGAGCCGCTAGTGTAGGGACAGGTGGGCGCGGGTCAAAGTCCGAGTTTTGCGAGTCTGGGGCTTGGCCGCAGCCGCGAGGCCTCCGAGCCGCCGTAGCCCCGCCCCTCGCGCGTGGCGCCCATGACGCTAGGCGCGCGGGCCGTGCTCCTTACAGAGGTCGCTCTCGTCGAACGGTCGGCCTTGCTGCGCCTGCGTGATCGGGAGGGGAAGTGAGGCGGTTTCTTCGGCGCCTTTTCCGGCGGCGGCGGCGGCGGCAGCGGCAGTGCTGGGAGGAGGAGGTGGAGGCCAGAGGGAGCCCGCGCTCAGGGCGGCGGCTGGAGGTAACCTCCTGGACTGAGCTGAAAAGGCGGGTCACTTCGGCCTCCGCTCCCCTCTGGTACTCCGCCAGTAACTCCATTCTTCCTCTCTGTGTCTCTGCAGGCGGCGCTCCGAGTTCCCGCGAGGATCAATGACCTGACGAGGCGCCGGAGCCGCGCTGACTCTCGGGTGGCCTGGGTCGGTGGTGAGCCCGGTGCTCGTGGACCGGCGGGCGGGCCGGAGGGCCTCGGTCTCCTGCGGCGGAGTGAGGAGAAGGCGGAGGAGCGGGAACCGCGGCGGCGCTCGCGCGGCGCTTGCGGGGGGAAGGGCAGTTCCGGGCCGGGCCGCGCCTCAGCAGGGCGGCGGCTCTCCCGGCGCAGACGCAGGGCCCCGGCGGCAGCGGCGCCTGGAGGATTCAAGTTGTGCGGTCCGGTGATGCCCGAGTGAGTGGCGAGCCCGGGCCTCTGCCCCGAGGAGGCAACTCCCACGCAGGCCGCACGGGCGCCCTCGCGGCTGGGAGGCTTCGTTTCGGTTTCGCGGCGGCTGCGGCGTAGTTGGCTGAGGGGACCCGGGACACCTGAATGCCCCCGGCCCCGGCTCCTCCGACGCGATGGGGAAGGTGCTATCCAAGATCTTCGGGAACAAGGAAATGCGGATCCTCATGTTGGGCCTGGACGCGGCCGGCAAAACAACAATCCTGTACAAGTTGAAGCTGGGCCAGTCGGTGACCACCATTCCCACAGTGGGTTTCAACGTGGAGACGGTGACTTACAAAAACGTCAAGTTCAACGTATGGGATGTGGGCGGGCAGGACAAGATCCGGCCGCTCTGGCGGCATTACTACACCGGGACCCAGGGTCTGATCTTCGTAGTGGACTGCGCCGACCGCGACCGCATCGACGAGGCCCGCCAGGAGCTGCATCGCATTATCAATGACCGGGAGATGAGGGACGCCATAATCCTCATCTTCGCCAACAAACAGGACCTGCCTGATGCCATGAAACCCCACGAGATCCAGGAGAAACTGGGCCTGACCCGGATTCGGGACAGGAACTGGTATGTGCAGCCCTCCTGTGCCACCTCAGGGGATGGACTCTATGAGGGGCTCACATGGTTAACCTCTAACTACAAATCTTAATGAGCATATTCTCCACCTGTCCCCCCGGAAGGAGAGAAATCAAAAACCCATTCATAGGATTATCGCCACCATCACCTCTTTCAATTGCCACTTTCTCTTCTTTTGAATTTGAACTCTGGAGTTACTGTTCTACGGTTGGGGAGGGGGGGGGTTAGGGGTTTCCTTTTTTTGTTTCTCTTTCTTTGTTTTTTCTTTTTTTTCCCCTCTTTTTCTTTCTGCTTTGCGTTAGGATGCTCTGATCTGACAGTTGACATGAACACAGTGCTAGATGCTCTTACTGACTTCCAGCAAATCGGATGGGGGAAATATAGCAGTTTTTGGTAAAGTCCTTTATAATAATGGTTTGATTTTTTTATTTCGAGAGAATCTTTTTTGCAATGTATGCTTTTTTTCCTTTTTGCCCGGTTTCCTTATCACTTGCTGTAGATGGCTTATTTTGCATTCATGCAGACTATGTTGCAAGTCTGTTTCATCTAGTAAACTGAAAATTATTGCTTAATCAAACTGCCGTTTGTCTTTTATATTTAAGGCCCTTACCCCTCCCTTATGAGTTTTACCTTTAACTTAGTAAGTTCAAATGTGACCTTTTATATCTAAGACCAGTATAGTAAACTTAGCCTACAGTGGCAAATAATGAGTAATATCATTGTAATATGTTCCAGTTGCACATCACTATGTTAAACAGGTAATGTAAGAAGTTCTTTGAAATATCAGCTATTAAGTTCTGAAACATACATCATGCATGAGTAGGGATAAAACTCAAGTTCCTTCTTACATAGCTAACTTACACTGCATAAAAAGATGAAGGTGTAACCTGTCAACACGGATTTTTTTCACTGCAAAGTTAGCAACTTTGCTGTGCTTTCCCTCTTTTTTAACTTTAAAAAGTAGACTCTTTCCAGAAAATGGAGCAATAATGTTGTATGCCACACACAGATGAGATATCTGTAGATATTTTAAGTGACTTTAGGGCAAAACTGGAATATATACTTTTACCACATTTCAAATGTCTAAAACCAATAATTTAAAAATTACTAGAATGTTTATTTTGTTCATTAATAAAGCATTTAACAATTCAAATTATATACACCTACCTAGTTGGAAAAACACACATTCCTGTTTTCACATTAGAGCAACTGATTAAGCTGAAGATAGAAGTCTTTTTTGTAGATGAGTGATCCACATCTCCATTAATTAGAACACTGGAAAAGAAAAAGATGTTTTATAAAAAAGATATTTAATTCTGTTTGTAGGATTAACTCACAGATAGTCAGATACTCTGTTGGTTCATTAATACACTATTTCCTTAAAGGAAGGAAATGTGATGAATGAATGATGTGTAGACTTGAGAAATGACAAAGGGGAAGTAGGATGAAGAAAAAGAACCTACAGATGACAATGAATGTAAACTTACTTTTCTTCAAGGGTAAGCAGTGTGCTCACTGGTGATATCCAGATCCTAGCAAGATTACTTGCTTAGCTTGTTGGGACTGGTAACTAGATTATTGAGACCACTATGATGATACTTTGAACCAAATGTTAATGCTTGATACAGAATTGTGAGCAGCATCTGGTTCTCATATAGCCTTAAGGATTAATTTTAGAGATCCTCAAGGAATTAAACGTAGGGAATTTAAGAAACGTAGACTGCAAAGGCAGTATACAGGAAAAGGTGGAGTGGGTTTTATTCATGAGGGTGTCTGAAAACTAAAATGGAGCGGGATATCATGGTACATAGTTGGACAGTATTGGTCCTTCGTGCTTTGGCCATATTGTGTAATGGAGCTTTTACCAAAGATGTATGAGAAGCATAAGGCTATAAAAAGTTAACTATTGAAAGTAAAACTCTTGACACATTTTACTTAAAGCAGATGAGAAAAGGTGCTATGTTGTAGGCTCCTGATGGTGCAGAGGGATTTTTGAATTCAAAATGCAACTAAGGTATAAAGTTCTGTTTTGCTTTAGAAGGATCTCTAGAAGTGAAGCTGACAGACACATCCGAGAACATTTTAGTTGCTTTTAAAAAATTCCTGAAGCTCCACCATAAATTTAATTCTTAGTGTTTTAAATGATTGCATTTTAAGGTACATAAACATGGGTTATACAAATATCGATGCTATAGTAACATCTTTAGACAAGCACAAAGGTATAAAGGCCTAAACTGGAGGAAACTTGAAACCCTCATCTTAATTCCTAAATGTAGTATTTCTAACTTGTGACAGACAGATTGATAGGCAGCCATTTTTTTGTGTTTTAAAATAACTGGGAGCATAGTTAAAATTTTATACATCAAGTGATTGCTATTGAATGTTGCAGGTGAGATGTGGTTATTTTTAGTTTATTTGAAATGTCTAATTGAAGGGGGGAGGGGGGAGCAAATATTTGAAATTTGGAAAACCCTAAACTTTTTGGTAAGAAATTGTAATTTTCATTTACATTTTCTTTAAGGATACAAAAGGTTGATAATTGATGTAGTTAAATTGAACCATAACTATTGGTGATCATGGGGCAGGTAATTGGAGCCTGCAGAAAAAGTTATTATCTAGGAATTTAAAAAAAATAAGATCCTGAAGTTTATGTTTAATTGCATCAATTTCTGTATTTATGTGAATTTATAAACTGCAGTAAGTTTTGAATGAGGTTAATCTTGTCTAATATAAGTAAATGAGTCTGTAGACTGTGATCTCCCCAAACTAAAAAGTACAGTACTTGGAATTGTGTTCTTTATGGTTGTAGTGTTGGTAAAGCACTAATATGCAGAAAATAAAGGAATTACACAGTGCAGTTTCTCACGTTATGTTACTCGTTTGGACTAGATTAAGTGGGACATGTGGTGTGTTGGGCCGTTATTCTCCAGGGATATATGGTATAAAGTGACTCGATTTGGGAGTCACCAGCTTTTATAAGAACAAAGAATCAGTTTGGTTCTTATAATGCTGGGTGTACAAGGTTTTGTACTGATTTAGCTCCAAACGTAATCTGATTTTATGATAACTTAGGACACAAAAGCAGTTGAAAATAATTTTTAAGAATTAGGGTTCTAAGCAGTTTGTATTCTACCATTTTTCCAAAATCACAACCTTACCGTTTTCAGGAGTAGAGAATTGTGTCTCTAAGGAATTGGCCCACAGAGTTGTCTTAACCCTTGACAATTGACTTTTAGATTTTAAAGGTTGTCTTCCAAAAGCCAGTTGCTTGTCTCATAAGAATGGCAGAATTGTAGCCATTTAGAAAGTAAAATAGTAGATGAATAACTTGTTGGATAAAAGGTTTTTTTAAACACATTTTTTGTAAGCATTCTCCCTTGAATTAGCAATTTTTGTAACTTAATTTTAGAATGTCTTAGCGTGTTCTCTAGTATGATTTAACCCCCACATTAATGTTAATATACTTAGTACTGTGATTTACTAATGGCTATTAGGTATCAATTTATCAGTGATAGCAGCAGAAGATACTTTACTCTTTAGTGGGTATTTATATTTTTCATATGTTTAAGAAATATAGTAGCCATAAGCTGAATGGTGGTGGAGCTTCCTAAACTTCCAGTTATATCCCCAGTACCTTGCCAAGTATATATCAGGGTGCAGTAAGGCAAATCTTGTCTCTTATAGGTAAAAATTGTGAAACCACATATAGCAATTAAAAAGAACTTTTAAGTCTGACTAATCACTGAGCAGAATGTATTTGGAGTAGAACATTCGATAGAATCTAGCTTCTTGTTTTGTTTATATTCAATGGTAAAGACAAAGTAGGAAAGATTACAATACTAGGAAGTTTATAAAAAAGGGAATGGTGGGACATGGAGCCACAGAAGAAGAGGTAAAGTAACTTTTCCCTGATTTGCTAAACTTTAAAGTTACCAAACTAGATGAGTGAGTTTAATGGGCAGGGAATACAAGTGAGATCAAAGAGGCAAAACAAGTCTGTAGAGAGGTTTAGGAATGGCAAATGAAATTTGTTACTAAGTAAGCTAAAGTAATGGTAAAGTCTGTAAGAAAAACCACTCTGTGGGACAGTAAGAAAATGCTGTAATTTTGAACTTTTTTTTTCTCTTTAAAATGTTTTATGACTACTTGAAACAATTTTAAAAGGGAAGTATTTGTCAATCTTGTCCTTAAATACTTTTCCACTTGTTACATTATTTCATTTGGATATATATCTGCTCCATGGTATTTGTTTTATAACTGCAAGAATAGATTTATTTATTGAGAGCCTAAAGATATACCTGGTACTATTCTAGGTACAGGCGATCCATCAGTGAAAAAAAAAAAAAAAAGGTCTGCCTTCATGGAATTTATGCTGGTGGGGA